AGGTATACCTTAGTGCCGCGGATATTTCGGGCTCAAGATAAACAAATGACAACATGGATGAGGGAGGAAAATTTCTCGAGGAAAACGATAAACCTATTAAGATCTGCCCAGATACTCAAAGGTAAAGTAAATATATCACCTCAACATTTAGTTGGATTCATAAATTTCGGAAAAAGGAGTTTAGGATATTAACTGGGCTTTAATTCCAACACTACATGCCAATGAGACCATAGAAAGCATAAAGTATGTAATCTATAACTAAAATGTTTCCGCGATATTTTTACAATTGTTTCGTAGCTTAGCGCAAGGATGCTCCTGAAGTTAAAATCTAGTGGAAAAGGTAAAGTCTATAATAGAGAATGGAATTAAATTTTTTTGGAATAGATCAGTTGCATGATGAAAAGACTAAAGGATATTTTTAAGGAGCAAGTGGATTCAGTCCTAGCCCCCATTTTAGACATGATCGTAAGAACTCTTTGATTAGCCAAAGATGAATTGTAAAGGGAAGGATCGGACAAAAAGACCAGGTTTATACAAAATAAATGACCGATATAAGAGGTATAGAAAGGCAGTGTTGTAAAGATTTTCATTTCTTGTGAAAGTGCCTTGAAAGAGATTCTTAGATCGACGTCACCAAAAAACACAAGCTGATTCCGATTGCTCTGCAGTCGTTTAATTTTACTATGATGTCGAGGTATTCGAGATATCTTCCTTTAGTTTAGGTAAAATAAAGCTTACATTTCGTCCGTCAATTATCAGAGCTGGAACTCAATCTTGCAGAAGCTTCGAGTTAATACTAAGACTAGCCACACAAGAAAATGGAAATATAAAGATGTGCATAGATCGCGTTGGTTAAGCCTTCTTTATGATGCTCTACGCGTGTGTTTAAGTATGTGTAATTGTGTAAGTACGAAACACTAATCGTGACTTTGAGTAATTAAAATAGAGACTAACCTCAATCTTAGGTCATCCAGGTTTAATGACCCAATAAAGAGCATGAATTAGAACTCGTAAGCCTGAATATAAGTCTAATGAGTTGATGAACTATAATGATACACACGTAATTCAGGATATTAAACAATCAGTCAAGGTAGTCAGTCCAAGTAAAGGCATGATTGGTATTGCGTAATCCAGTATGGCCGGTTGAATTGATAAGATTGTAAGAAATAAAAATAGTACTACATACTTTCCTACCAAACATAGTAATATCAAACCATCGATAAACTTAGCTAGAAAGATGTATTGGTCATTAACTAGAAAATAAACAATGAGAAGTAAATGGATGAGAAGCTCAGGGGAGGTAAGATAATCTAAGTATGGCAAAATACGACAGCTACTCACCGAAGTCCAATACACGGCCCGGGTGAACCAAAGCTGCAGACTCGGAGATGAGAAAGCAGTCGGTAGAGTCAACGACAAACTCAGCAGCAGTTTTCTGCCAAATTACCTCATTCACAGCAGCTGACCATGGGTCGTCGATAACATGAGCACCTTCGGGAAGATTTGCTTGCCCTGACAATGGAACACTGGCTAAAAGGTTGGCCTGAGAAAAGAACTGAGTCATGTCAAGGAAAGACTTATTCAAATGTTTGGTTGTAGAATCGATGGTAGTGGTAGGAATATCGGATAGTGACGTATGAACAGATGAATTGAGGGGTTGTTGCAACTGATGTTGTGTCTCTTTGGTGTGGAAGAACTCAGTGATGTCAATTGTATGTGTGTCCTCAGGAAGAAGGCATAAGGCAGAAGGCTCACGTCGAGGAGACAGATGAAAAGGAATGGCGACGGCATTTATAGGAGATGCACT